CATTTAATGCCATCAATTATACTGAGAAATATATCAAGCCCTTTTCTAAGAAAATATATTCCTCGTAAGGAGCAAATATTATGCAAGATGAACAAATGAGGATTTTTCAAGGGTAGAATGTGAAACTTAAAAATAAAAAAAAAGTACTGACACAATAGGTACAAAGTCAAGTTGTCTACCTATAAAAATAATTGAATCTCAGTCTCTGAAAAGACATTAAATATCCTTTAATGCAAAATGTCATATTATGCTTGAGGCTGAGTGCATTGTTAATCAAGCTTGAGTTTTTAACTCTATCTCTGTCATTGGTCAGCCATGAGACCTTAGGCTCACAACATTCACTGTGGGAATTAAATGAGATGACTCACATAAAGAACACAGAGCTTGGCGCAGGGTTTACTCTTCATACATATCAGCTACTGCTATAGGCACTTTTGCAACACGGACCATAAGTGTCTGCTTTGTCTGCTTGAAGACTCACTTTTAAGAAAACCTGTTTCTTGAGAGGCAGCTGTATCATTTGCAGATAACTTATATTGCTAGAAAGTTTTCTATCCATGGTGTCCAAAACACAAGGCACTCATCAACACATGTCAAGTGTAAGGCTTTTTTTCATAGAAGACCTTTTCCTCATCAATAAGCGGTCCTGACCAAGAACCCTCCTCCTCTCAGGTGAAGCCTCTCATGTTTCTTCAAGGTGCTTGGGTCATTGCAAGCTCCTTGTCCTGCCTAGTGTTCTCTTCTGAGGACATTCCAGGTCCCTTAAACCATGGGACCCACAGGTATATCATTATGGTACAAAAGATGAACAAGATAAGCAGCCTGAAGAGTGTGTGAACATTCTAAGATATTTGAGAGTCAGAGCTCTAGCTACAGCCCGAGCAAGGAAGCCCTGACGTCTGTGTCCCTGCTGATTCTTTAGAACCAGGTATCTTCCCAGCAGCAACACATGCATTTGATGTTTGGAACACAAGTGAACAGCTTTTCACGTGTTGGTCTGAATCCCTTGTTTCAACCTGTCCTGTTAAATTCTGATTCTGCTCTTTGTTGTACTCTTTCTCAGTGCCATGTCACCCAAACTTGTTTAGCATGACTTCAATGTCTTTATCATACAGACAGGATGAGCAGGCCAATGTCATGGACAGGACTTGAAGACAGTACTAGAAGGTCACCTCCAGATTCATATCATCTCCTTGGTAACAATTCTGAAACTAATAGTAGTACTACCTTTTAGTCTATTTTTCTCTTTCCTTCATAAATATATCAAAAGCCTGTGACACATCACTTTGTTGGATTCTGTGTGTATCCAATGTAATACTAGTACTACTACCACAAAACTAAGAGGTTACTATGGTATGCCTCCAGTTTAGAGAACTTACACTGGATTCTAAGCTGGTCCCCTAATTATTTACATTTAATTATTTTACAATTTTGTTTTACAGCCAATCCGACACAAGATGTTCAGTTTTAGAATTTATTATGTCTTCTAAAGAAACAATTTAAAAAGTGATTTTTCTTAAGTAAATATGATTGATAACATATACAAAAAGAAGTTGCCCTAAAGATATTGATATGAATTGGAAATCAGGAACAAGAGTGTAAGTCTATGATCTACTTACTACCTTGGAAAAGGTCAATGGGCGTGTGTAGAAGTTTTCTAAATATTCTCTTGGGTTTATAGGACTCACTAAATAACTCTGAAACTCTTCCATACACAGGCATTCTCTACTCCTTCCTTTCTCTGCCAAGACATTCTGTATCTTTATGAGGTTACTCAACCCATTCACTTTGAGCACAAGGAAGTTAGCACCTGCTATGAGGAATCAGAATGTGAAATGTGATGACGGGGCCCTGTGATAAGTGCCTGACCTTAGCAAACAAAAACAAAACCTCTGAGAAAAAAATAAAAATGCAGTAACATGCAATCCAGTGTTGTGAGGCCCTTCATAGAAGCCAAAATCAGTCCTGCTGGAAGTGGTACTTGAGACTGTGTATAATGGGGCAGTGGCTCCGTTGCCCTGTCCTCTGACACTATAACACGATAGTTTCCCAGGAGGGAAAAAAAAAAAAAAAAGTCAGCAAGTTGTGCTAGTGATAGGAACCTACAGTCCATTTCTGATCTGGCGTAATAGTTCACAGATCAGGTCCACACACAATGTAGTGCCCTGGAAATCAACAAGAGTTCAGCACTCTGAACTGTGCCAAACAGCAAGATGAGGATTGGGGCTGGTATAAATATTCAATTGGGAAGTTATGGCCAAACGCCCTGCACTGTGTGTTTAGTGCAACTCAAAACTGCTCCACCTGGTCCCTTCTGGCTCCCTCGTGTCTACCACAAGCTGGCAGCTGGAAGGCAGGCTGAGCCTGGGAGATCTTTTAATTTGCTGCAGCACTAGGGGGCCAGGCAGGAGGAATGACAATACATATGCGGGGATTCAATTACAGAGCTGTCTTTCTCCCAGGTGGGAGGCAACACTGACTGCAGGGAATTCAATGTTTCCTTAAGGTCCCTCAGGAAAGAATCCATGGTTTGCAAACATTGGGATGATCTGCTCTCCTGATGAAGGTCTTGGCAAAAAAAAAAAAAAAAAAAATTAAGCAAACTAATACTTCTTTAAGTTTAGGTGCCATCTTTACATTTAAACTGTTTTCCAAAATAAAGTCTTTCTGTATTGTCTGCCTTGAAAATACAGATGACAGCTTCTAAATTCTGAAAAAAAGCTACTGTTTAGCCTATATAATGTAGAGTAAGAGGAGCTTTGAGATCACTTGCTCATGAATGTCACTGCTGAAAAGGTTTTTAAACATTGCATATATTTAGATGCATTGAACCATGAATAATTAAGGGCAACATGCAGTGTTCTAAATTTAAAGCACTTGAGTAGTTCCTAGAAGCTGACAAAAATTATTTACCATGCAATCATTTCTTTACAATAAAATGCCCCAATGTCATTCATTTTGGGGACACTGATTTCAAATATCGGTGGCAATTTGTCAATGCTGAAGAATGAAAGTGCACTTCATGTTTCACCTACTATAAAGCAAACCCACCAAATCAAGAGTAAGACTATACAAACACAGGCAACTAGAGTTCCCTAAAATACTTCTACATGAATAGTTATGTTAATCATCAACGAAAATAATCTATTTATAAAAATAGGTTTGTCAGTGATATTATAGACTGTCCTCAATTTATGATGGGGTTACGTCCTCAAAAAACTCATTGTAGATTGAAAATATCATTAAGCAAAAATTCATTAAATCTACCTAATCTGTGGAGCATTCATTATAGCTTAGTTTAGCTTACCTTAATTGACCAATTATATTTTTTCATTGTGTGCATGTATGAATACTTAGTAAAAATCTATTACATATAATTGTGATGCATCAATAAAAATAAGTAAGTTAATAATAAATGAAAACCTAAAAGTAATGACATGCACAGATGGAGGAAGAAGTTTTAAAAATAAACTGGAGTATTGCAATTTTTTTAAAAAATGTGCTTCTACTAACCTACGGTCCAGCAAAATATAAAGCCTATTTTATAATAATGTGCCAAATATCTCACATAATTCTTTGAATACTCTGCTGAAAATGAAAAGCAGTAGTTTATGGGGTTGCACCATTGCAAGTTCAAAACTTTTTTACCCTTTTAGTTCAGGAACCTTTTTTCCCCAGGTTTTTCGGGTTTTTTTCCAACTTCCTTTTCTTCTTTTTCTTTTTTTTTTGTTTAGTTGGTTTTGTTTTTTTTTCCTTTTGTTGCAAAATTTAAAAAAAAAAGTTGCACTTGTTTCAACTCTGTCTCCCAGGATAACACTTGCCCTAATAGACCCTTTTCTTCCATGGCAGTTAGAGCACCAACTCACCAATCAAACCATCGGCTGTTCTAAGCCCTCTTGCCTTCCCAGTTCTCTTAGAGTCATTCAGAACTCCTCACTTGACCCCTCAGACCTTACTCCTTTGCAGGAGACATGATGCCCCGTTTCTCTGACTATCCTCTAAGGGGTTCCCCTCACTTGCACTTGTAGAGCTCCAATACCTACCTCCCATCTCGGCAAGCTGATTCTAACTGGTTGTTCTTCAAACATGTCCAATGCACTTTCAGAATAGGACCTCTGCACTTAATGTTCTCTTTTCCTAGAGCATGGTTTCCCAGCTGCCCTTCTGTTTCTATGTTCAGACATCCCCTGTTCAGAGATCCCTTCCCACCCTTATAGAAAATAGCATCTCTTCTACTCAATAATTGCCAGTTATCCCAGTATCCTGTTTCATTCTTCTATTATTTCTCTGATGTGCTATATGTACTTCTTAATCATCTCTCCATACAAACAGTGAATTTTTATTCATTGCTCTATCTAAGTATCTAGAACAGTGACTGGCACATACTAAATGCTAAATTAACATGTGTTAAATGTATAATAAGTTTTCCAATAATTTCAGTTGACCTGCCAGGTCAGACCTAGTTACCTAGGCTTTATTGCACTGATCAATCAATATCACTCATTTTTTGATGGCATAATTTTATTGTTTTGTACACACCATTCTCCAATAAACAAAATGATACAGTTCCAGTATAAAGAATTATATAATTTTGTTGACAGAATCTATAATATTTTTTCATCTTTAAATATGAGAAATAGATTAGGAATTATTCATCTCTACCATATTTCAGGCACTGTGCTTTCTATAATTCAATAAAACATCATTTAATATGCAATTACAAATTGTCTTGCATCCCCTTCAAAATATTAATTTTAGCCTAAAGCCAACCAATGAGAAAGAATATATAAATTCTCTATTTTTGTGGCCCAAATAATCTACTGATGGCTTAGTGAAGTATGTAACATTTCCAATCTTTCCTAAACACAAAAAAATATGTCATATTCTCTTCTTTAAAATTTTTCTAAAATCAACCAATTCTATGGAATAAAAATACAGCCCCTTTCTCTTCTTTTGCTGAGAACTGAAAAAGATCTTGAGAGTTGCCCAAGTTCACATACCTGGTGGCTGGCAAAGGCTTCATCAGAACCGGTTTGAAGGTACTGTTATCCATTTGCTCCTAATCAAGCGTTTTTCAGTCATTTCTTTTTTCCCTGAATTCTTACCTTGATTCTTCTTGGGCACTTGTCTATGTTGATGGATTCTCCTCCCCAGGCTTACCTATACAGTGATGTCTGTTGCCTGGTGATTCAATCATGATCCACATTCCATTTCCTTTGACCTAAAAGAATCTGGAGTTCGGTTTAGGTGTTCATCTCTCCCCAACAAAGGTGATGAATTCACCCTCAGCTCCAGAAGAGGGAGCCCAATTTGTCTCCTAAATTAATGGTTGTTTTAGGATTCACTGGGTAATCAAATATGTGCCAATAGCACATGGGAGCATTTTTGTTTGTTTGTTTGTTTTTGTTTTGTTTTGTTTTGTTTTTGGTGACTGTGGATAAGTTTCTCTTTCTTCATCTAGGAGAGCTCCCATAGCCAAACTGCCTCTTTGGCTGGATGTGAGTGAGGGAGCGCGTGGCCCTAAGTTCTACTTTCAGTCATGCTATCACCACAAGAGAAGCAAATGTAGGGAAAATCCAAAACTGTGCAAGGCAGAGCTAAAGGAGACAAAAAAAAAAAAAAAAGTTTTTTGATGAAGTTCCTGAGTTCCTGGAGGCCCCTCTCCCTCTGGAATTCCAACTATGAGAGCCAATAAATTACCTTATTGTTTAAAGCTGGAAGGGCTTGGTTCTCTATTACCTGCCCTTGAAACCATTTTAAGCGATACAACTACTGTTTCCTGGTTTCTTGACGTCAGATCTGGCCATTAATTTTCATTCTTCTTTTGGGTTATTCTTGTCTTCTTAACCTTTAATGTCCTTATCTTGTGACCTGGGCCCTCACTGCATCTTGCTCAAGTAAACACCTTCTGGGGAAATTTCACCTGTTTCTATGTCTTTGACAAATACTCTTTTGTTGCTGTTGATCTATTCCAAATCCACCCCTCCTCAGCTCTCATATCTTTTCTGGTACCAGTCCTCATCTGCAGTGTTATCCTGGTCATCTCCACAGGGATTTTTTACCAAGTCTTCTGACTTGTATGTGCACAGTTAAACTCATTATCATTCCTTTCATATGTACCTATACTATTATCCTTAACTAAATATTAAATTGGCAACTGAAATCAAAACTTTAGGTGAGTCCTCCCTCAAGCCCTCAGTCTTTACATAGTTCTTTTATGTCATCGATGTTTCTGCATAAATATCGATTCTAAAATATCCACTTCTATTCATCCTAATCATTATTTGAACTACGTCTTCATAATTCTTCATCTAAACTTTTCCTGCAGGCTATACTTATTATAGAGCATCTTGGTTGTCAGGTCATGGGTAGCCACATGGTTGACATCTAACTGCTATGAGAAAGGCCAAAGAAGTCCATCGGAGATATGGCTCTGTTGTGTTGGTGCAACTTCGGTAAGGCAAAAATTATCACTAGAATTCAAGCAGATGGAAGACAGAAGACAGGGTATTCAGGTGAAAAGATAAATACAAGCACTGGAAAACAAACTGGTCTGCACGCTCACCATGCGAAACCAAGAAGATAGGCTACATAGAATGGAGAACTGGTGTTGGAGAACAGAAGAAAGTTTGATTGCCAGAGTAGCTATTTTTTTTTTTAAATTTCAAAACATCCTTTGATTGACATATAATATCTGTACTTACTATGAAGTAAAATGTGATGTTTTGATTTAGTTATGCCTTGGGTAGAGATCAACTTGAGGTAACTGTCATGATCTCATTTGGTGGAATCTAATCAGGTTGGTCTCATAGAAGCTGAGAGCAGAATACCAGTTACTGGAGACTGGAGAGAGTATCGGGGAGGGAGGAAAGAGAGATGTCAATCAACAGGTGCAATGTTATTGTTTGATGGGAGGAGTCTGTCCGTTCTGAGTTCTAAGGTACAGCAGGGTGAATATACTTAACAATAATGCATTATATAGCTGCATATTTTGAAAGTCAAGCAGTGGACTCTGACAGGGGAATAATATAATCAATGCAATCTTTGTAGGAGATTAGTCTAGGTAATCTGCGTTAGTGTAGTTTAAAAAGAGGAAGAATTTATTGACATGAGTGAGTTAGGAAACTGATAAAACAATGTGGGCAGGAAGTTGGATGGCTTTGAAAACAAATAGAAGCTTTTGGCATATTTCAGCTGAAAAACTACAATTTCATCAGATTATTTAAATCACACATTCATTTGTTTTTATTTATTAAGCCTTATGGTTCGGGTTACTCATTTATAAAGCACCCAACATATTTATTGAAAATGTATTAGATAGATGCCATTTTTCATGTCACTAGCTTCAAAGGTAAAAAGCCATGTCGCGCATATCCTCTGTGGCTACAGTATAGCAAGGACATTATAAAAGCAGCAGAGGACAGGGCAGTGTGTGTACACTGTAGCATAAATGAGAAGTGACTAACTTTGTTGGGTTTGGGGTGAGTATTCATATGTGCAGGGAAAAAAAAAAAGCCTTCGACTTGAATCTGTCCCCCACCCCATCAGAGTTGGTAAGGCATTCTGGAAGATGGAAAGGCAAGTTAACTAGAAGGCATGGGTATGAAATGGTGAGTGTGTTTGGGTGCCTGCACACAGTTAAGTATTTGTGCATCACAGAAGTCAGGGACCTTTTCTTGTCAGGGGCAAAAGACAGAGCACTTGCAGTTCCATGTGGAAGAGTTTGAATTTTTGTTCGAAAGGCAAATACATGCGTCAAATTGAACATGTTAAAATGTGTGTTAAAACCGAGCACAGTGGTGCACACCTGTAATCCCAGTGGCTCAGGAGACTGAAGGCAGGAGGATTGTAAGTTTAAAGCCAGCCTCAGCAATGGCAAGGTGTTAAGCAACTCAGTGAGACCCTATCTCTAAATAAAATACAAAATAGGGATGGGAATGTGGCTCAGTGGTCCAGTGCCCCTGAGTTCAATCCCCACTACCCCCTCAAAAAAAGTGTATTATGTACAATTGAAGAAAGTTGATTTTTTAAAAATAAAAATGAAGCAAACAGGGAGTTGGAAGCAATAGGTTGGCATAGTCAAAAAGGCATTTCAGGGGCTGGGGATGTGGCTCAAGCGGTAGCGCACTTGCCTGGCATGCGTGCGGCCCAGGTTCGATTCTCAGCACCACATACAAACAAAGATGTTGTGTCCGCCAATAACTAAAAAAATAAATATTAAAATTCTCCCTTTCTCTCTTCCTTCTCTCACTCTCTCTTTAAAAAAAAAAATTATTAAAAAAAAAAAAAGGCATTTCAGAATCACCTGATGACCACATGAAGGATGACCTGGAGGCCTGGGGGCACCGTGAGGCAAGACAGAGGTGACTGGAGAGTGGGGAGACATGGCCAGATCTGAACATAAGCTGTGTTCAGGAGCTACACAGGAAGCTGGATGGCCAGAACCTGGGAACTGATAAAATGTGAACAGAAAGAGTTTCAAAATCACCCAGGTTTTGAACTCAGTGGTTGCAGAAGGACTGATCAAAAGAGGAACAAAGTGGAGAATCTGTTTTTGGTGACAAAACAGTGATTTGGTTGAGAATGTGTTTCTTTGAAGGAAGGAGAAGAGATGTCAAGTAGGCATTGGGGAGAGTGGTGGGTTCCCAGCATTTGGGTAGAAAGGAATATTGCTCATTTCTGATCAGTCTAACTGTTCCATGCTCTTTAATTTCTTAGGTTTGCTTCCTTTGTTTTTTCCTAACTAGAATTTAAAATTTGCCAACAGTTGTCTAGTTCTTTCAACACATATTTACTGAACACCTCTATGTGCCAGACACTGCCCCATGTTGTGAGAAGTAACAGGAATTATTTCATATTCAATGCTTTGCTTGGGAGTAAATTATGGGCACATATACTTTCCACTAAAAAATTATGTAGTTAATGAATTAAATGACTTGGAATGATGCAAACATCCACCAACAGGTTAATATGTAGACAAAGTGTGGAACCAATACCCAGTGGAATGCAGCTAAGCAATAAAAAGGAATGACCCATTGATACACACTTAAAACATGAGAAAGCTCTGAGAAGAATTATGAAAGTTTCCAGGGGTTTAGGTTGAGGGAGCAAGTAATAAAATACTAAGGGGCAGGAGCAAACTTGGGGGGGGGGTGTTAATGAACAGGTTGATCATTATGGTTGCAGCCATGGCTCTACTGGAGTACACCTATGTTACATTGAATATTTTAAATAGGTGTGCTAAATATACCTCAGTAAAGTTGATTTAAAACAAAATTAATAGACATCTTTATGTAGTGGGTTATGTAACCCCTTTCTTATGTAACCCCTTTCTTATGGGTTAATTTTATTTTTTTCCCTTTGCTTGTTTGTGTTTTCAATGATACTATAAAACTATTGTCTTTTCAAATAAAATTCATTAAAATTTTTAAAAGTGATAAAAGTGTCCTGGTCAGGTACTCACTACTCTCCTAATAGAAGTGGGAATCATCAGTGAATTGCAACTTTGGAAAACAGTGAAATATTATATCAAACATATCAGTACAAAATCAAATAAAGGTCAAGGCTAGCTGGAGTGTGGTAGGCTGCCTGATTCTCTCACACTTCTGCTAGGAAATGTAAACTGGTGTAGCCAATTTGGAAAGAAATGTTGCTGTAACTAGTGAAATTGGAAATGCACTCCTATGACGAATGATTGCAATATCAGTTGCCCTTTTCCATTATTTCAGTAATTGGTGCATTTAAAAGTACTGGCATAATTTTTTTGTGTATTTTGCGTAAATACAATTTTAGTTTTTAATATTTTAGATTTCAATAGCTTAGTTCTTCCCTTTTAAATTTCTCCCTAATCTCATTCATCTTCTCCTTGTAATCCATGCAGGTATTTTACTGCTCACAAAAGGTTCCTGTCTCTTATCATCTTTAGTTTTTCACATCCCAACCACATCACCCACAGATACCTGCCTTCTACCCATAAAAGGCTGAGCACAGATGAAGTGCCACAGAAGACAGCTTTCCTCTGCAATGGGGATCAGTCAGATGGTGGGCAAGGTGGGCAGTGAGAGAGGGCAAAACTGTTGCCAGAGGCCACAGTACCAAGAACACAGCAGGAAGACAAGAAGTTCAAAGGCTGGACAAGTCAGAAGGGAAAATGCCAAGATTGTTCCA